GCATATTATAAGCAATAACATTTTTTAAAACCATCATAAAGTTATGCACAAAAATATATAGGTTTATACAAGGTATTACATACCAGAAAATGAGCATGCATAAAAATCTATGGAAAGTATGCACATATATTGGAAGTCTTAAAGTGATACACAGGGGAGGTGGTGTATCAGCAATAGAAATAGTATATAAATATACAAAGTATATAAAAACTGATGTAAAGGATTTTTTCTTTTAATATTTATTATAAAAAGTTAAAAAGGTCAAACTCTGCATTGAGACCTTTAGGGTGTAGTGTGTCTAAAAAGTAGACCCACTCCATTTCTTTCTTGCCCAAATTTATTAATTATATCACCACCTCTCCAGTGTTGGGACAATTTTGAAATGCCCATAAATTTTAGGTGCCGTGGATCATTACCATGTAACTCAAAGTGTGAGGATACCAAGTGGGTTTTTAGCCCTTTTTCTATATTTCTACAATGTTCCCCAATCCTGATCTTCAACAGTCTTATAGTTCTCCCTATATATTGCAGTCCGCATGGACATTCTAATAAATATATCACGTTTTTACTCATGCATGTAATTGTGTTTTTAATACTGTAACTTTTATCTGTGTTATTTGATTTAAAATTATAAGTGTATCGATCAATTTTTTTAGTTTTTTTGCAAGATACACAGCAATTGCATCTAAAAAATCCATTCTTGTTTTTCATAAAATTATTTATAACTTTTTCTGTTTTGTGTAATTTTGTGTAAGTTGCATTTTCAAGTTTGGGGCTCCTTAAATACAATTTTTGGCTGGTCTGGAATAATTTTTCCTAATATAGGATCTTCTTTCAATAAATGCCAGTTATTCCTAATTACTTTTTTTTATTTGTTTGTTTTTGTTATTGTAATCTAAGACAATAGGCAATACAAAGTCTTTTCCATTATTCTTAGTGTTTTTTAAGTCTTTATTTTGAGTTAGAAGATCCTTTCTGTCTGTGTTTGTAATATTTTCTATAATTTTGTCTATTTTCTCTTTATCATAACCTTTTTCAATAAACTTATTCTTCATCATGTTCGCCTGAGTTTTAAAAGTATTAGCGTCGGAGCAATTTCTCTTCATTCTAAGGAATTTACTTTTAGGGATGCTGTCAAGCCAGCTCTTATAATGACAGCTATCTGTTCCAATAAAATTATTAACATGAACCGGTTTAAAATGAGTTTTTGTATTTAATCTCTTATCCTTAATATAAATATCCAAATCTAAAAAGGTAACATGGGTCTGACTAAAATCTGCTTTTAAAACTATACCATCGTTGTTTGTATTTAAAAAGTCTAAAAAAAGTATAGCTGTAGAAATTGGACCTTTCCATATAAAAAGGAGATCGTCTATATAGCGAAAATAAGCCACCAGGCTCCCCACCCAGCCATGCCCACTCCACACCATTCTTTCTTCCCACTCGGTCATGAAGAGGTTGGCATAGCTGGACGCAAACCTGGTCCCCATCGCTGTGCTGTTTTTTTGTAGGTAGAACAAGTCTTTAAACCAAAAATAGTTATTATTTAGAATTAAAAAGATACCTTCAATTATAAAATTTATCTGTTCTTCTCTCATCTTTTTTTGTCTCTCTAGAATAGTTTTTACAGCTTTACATGTTGTATGTTCAATTATAGTGTATAGAGATTGTACATCACAAGTTATGAGTACATAATCATCCTCCCACTTTATTGATTCTAATTTATTAAGTAGGTCCATAGTATCCTTAAGATAGGATCGGGACAATTTAACGTAAGGCTGTAACATAATGTCTATATATTCTGACATATTTGATAGGATAGAATCTATACCGGAGACAATAGGTCTTCCTGGGGGTCTTTCTGTGTCTTTATGAATCTTCGGTAGGAAGTATATAACCGGTATCTTTGGAAATTTCTTGTTTATAGAGTTACAAAACGATGATACTGTTGTTATAAAACCAGCCGATAAGGGGGGAGGTTTAGTGATTTTATCTACAGAAATCTACAGAAATGTATGAAGAGGAGGCTTTTAGACAATTGAATGACATAAAGACATATGTTAAACTTAGGGACCCTACCTCAGATATCCAAAATATGTTAGAGAAATTTCTGAATCAAGGAAAGGATAAGAATATACTAAGTATGGATGAATACAACTATTTAAACAAGAAATTTCCAAAGATACCGGTTATATACTTCCTACCGAAGATTCATAAAGACACAGAAAGACCCCCAGGAAGACCTATTGTCTCCAGTATAGATTCTATCCTATCAAATATGTCAGAATATATAGACATTATGTTAGGATCGGGACAATTTAACGTAAGGCTGTAACATAACAGAAGCCCCAGACCGGGCGAAACACGTTAAGTAAGAGATTGGATATTAACTTCTTTTATTATATATATTTTTTTATTTTGTATTAATAAAGTTATAGTTTTTACTACTTTATTTGTTGTTCCTGATACACCTTGAATCCTGACCTATATCCTTTGGTGGGGATTATACCACCACATGCTGTCTATACCAGAGCAAGATATTTGCTCTGAAATTTGTAAGTAGGATACTTTTCCTTTATTTACTTTTTTAATAGATATACTATACCATTGGATTTTATTTCTATTTTTTCTATATATCACTGTGGAGGACTGGACACCGCATTATACTTTCTAAGCGCTATACGGCAGAGCTCTGAGTAGCTCTGCAAAGTGTGAGTGAGTCTTTTATAAGCTTATACATATTCCTATTTTGTTTGACATACTGCACTATTACTGTTCTGTACTTTTTTGCCTTGAAGGTTTTATACATTCCTAACTATATTCTGTATGTATATATTTTAATTATTACTTGTACTGTTTGGGCGCGGTTTACCACTTTTGTCTTTTCTGTTTTACTACTGTAAGCAGGTATTGGGAATTCCTGCTTGGTTCACTGCTGCCCACCTTTAGTTTATTTAGTGAGCGCCTAACTTCTTCTTGTTGTGAACTTTATGCCAGGAGTGTCTTAACAGTTGCATTGTACAATAATGAAAGAAAAAGTTTGCTTTAAATCAGTGCCATCTTAACAGCATTGCAGGCCCTCAGACAAAGCAGTGCACTGTGGCCCTGCCTACACAACAACTCACATGAATACAAATGTAAATTTTCAATAAATTTATGCTTATATTTATGGGTATCTCCAACAAATACAATACATACACACAGACTACTTAATAGATACATAGACTGCTGAATACACACACAGGCTGTGTGTGTATTGAGCAGTCTGTGTACTTGTGTGTATATTGAGCAGCCTGTGTGCGTGTGTGTATATTGAGCAGCCCTGTGTATATTGAGCAGCCTGTGTGCGTGTGCGTATTGAGCAGCCTGTGTGCATGTGCGTATTGAGCAGCCTGTGTGCATGTGCACATTGAGCAGCCTGTGTGCATGTGCGTATTGAGCAGCCTGTGTGCATGTGCGTATTGAGCAGCCTGTGTGCATATTGAGCAGCCTGTGTGTGTGTGTATTGAGCAGCCTGTGTGCATGTTTCGCAGTCTTTATGTATTCAGCAGTATGTGTGTGCATTCGGCAGTCTGTATGTATTCAGTAGTCTGCTGTGTGTGAAAGGTGCAGTCTGTATGTGTGTTTTCAGCAATCTGTATATTTATTAACCAGTCTGTGTGTATTCAGCAATGTGTATGTTTTCAGCAGCCTGTGTGTGTACTAACGAAGGGCCTTTGGACTTGTGAGGGAGATCTTTAATCTCCACACTGGCCCGAGAGGGTGCACAGAAAGTGTGCCGGCTGGCAGGGAAGATCAAAGGATCTCCCCTGCTGGCCTGGGCACATGGGCATCATGCTGGGACCCATTGTGCCCATGCAGAAAGACAGTCCTGCTTAAAATCTTACAAGTGTTGCTGCTCCTTTTGTTTATTTTCTGGAGACATAATAAATTATGAAAACAACAGGGCTAATAAGAAAGGAAATACAAAACATACACTTATGTCCTTGATGCACCTCATAGTTTGGATCATCACAAGAGGAAACCACTTCTTGATGATATTGCAGGAGGCAGAGAGGTAAACAGCTTGAAATAGATAAGTAAAACTTTTATTTTATTATTTTTTTTTATTGCATGGGGAGGGGTGGCTGCATATAACTAGGGACAGGTGTGACGGAGTGCCATATCCTCATATGCCTGCTGTCTATTTCTATGGGGAGAGATATGTGATGGATGACCTGATTTATTTGGTGCATGCCACAAGGTTGCAGCACCATTTTTGTGACTGTTTTGCATGTGTCTGTATATGCAGCTGTGGGTCAACAAGGGGGGGGTGTTGCAGCTCTTTAAAGTAGAGTTAATGTATGGTCTGCCTGTATCTCACCCTCTTCCCCCTGCCTTTTCCTGTCACAGCAGGACATGGACACAGGGACACTGCCAGCACAGGTTGCAAGGGCTGCTGTGTCCCTCTTCCATCCTCCCCATCAGTTTCTTGGGATTGAAACCCCTGTTTTGTGTTGGAGGTCTGTGCATGAAAAACCTTGTGTAAAGAAATAAAATATCAGTCAGAGTTGTACCTCCAGAGCTGTGTGTGTCATCCAGTTACGGGGGGGAGGGGGGAGGGGGGAAGGGGGGTTTAATCCCTTTGTCAGCTTGTTGCAGCTGATGGAGAATGCAGATGGAAAAGTCATTGTACGGACTAAAGCTCCCAGGACTGTGGGACGGCAGGCATAAGTAGCCCCTAGGGTCCGGCAGCCACCCAGTGTCTGGAACTCAGAGAAATGGATGGCGCTAGCTCCCATGCATCGCCCCTATATGAAGAAGAGTTCCAGGGGAGACTGCAGGCCTTTCTGTATAAGTACCCAGCCTCATAAGCGAGTGACCTGGATAGCAGAGATTAGGTCCAAAAGGGACTCTGGAAAGAGGTTCTGGAGGAAGTTCAGGTTCTCCAAGGGGAATCCCTTCAAACCCCAAAACAGTTACAGCAGGATCAGCTGGAACTGCGGATACCTCTCCTGGGAATGCAACCTCTGGAGGAATGGGTAGTTGAACTTGGGCACCTGGTCTGTAAAGAACTGTGGGTGGACAATGGTTACCGAACCTTGCGATGGTATACAGTCCAGCAGTACCCGTGTCTAGCTGAGGGCAACAACTATTATGGCCCTGGTCTTTTGTGGGAGAGCTTTGACGATCGCCTGGATTTCGAAGACCCAGACCCTTTCCGCTTCTGGTACATCCGAGAGAAACGGGAGGACTACTTGGACCTGGCAGGGATAGCGGAACTGCAGTTTGATCTGGATCATCTGGCTAACCTGGAGGAAGGGGAGATCAAACAGGACTATGTACACCTGTTTCAAAGTATAACACTGCCTGTCTCCGAAGAGACTGGAGACTTAATGGACTTTGCAACCAAGGGAGAGAAGTATTCCGTCCTTGCTCCCCCAGCGGCACTGTGAAGTTCAGGGAACGAAGACAACTGGTCTCATTCCCCAGTGGCAGTGTGAGGTCCGGGAGAGAAGCAGTCTGTCTTTCCTCCCCAGCTGCAGTGTGAAGTCAAGGAAATGGAGACAACCGGTCTCGTTTCCCAGCGGCAATGTGAGTTATCGGGAAGGATAAAAACTGGTACTGCGGGTATAGTAGATGAGACTACGGTCGCCATGGGCACCCTGCAGGTGGAAGAGTTGACTCCCCTGACTCATTCTGAGGCAGACCCCAGTGACCTGCTATGGTCTGGTCAGCGGGGAGTGGGCGAGACTTCGGCCACCGCTATCCCTTTTCTTAATGATGCGTCAGCATCCGAACAGAGCACAGACAGCCTCTGCTCTCCCCTTCCCCTGGTTTCCGACCCTGGCCATCTTGCAGGGTCCAAAACATGACTTGATGTGGAGGCACGTGCCTCTGCCCACCCCTGGTAAAGAAGCAGGGCCCTGGCAGCTATGCAGGGCCTCAGAAATGGATTGAGGCATGGGCAGAGGGCAGGTAGTCTATGCCCACCCCTGATGCCCAGAAACAAATGAGAATTGAGGCGTGGGCCTCAGGGCAGAGGGCTAGTAACCTCTGACCACCCCTGATACCCCATCTGTGCAGGGCCCCAGAAACAAACCATGCAGGGCCCCAGAAGCGGGTAGGAACCAAGACTTCTGGTGCCGAGGGCAAATTGAAAGCAATGGTCACTGGGCACAGGGGGTGCCCGTCCCACTCCCCAGCAGCTGAGTGCGATCCAAGGGAGGAGCACAGTTGACTCTCCTCCACAGAGGCCAGCCCCGACCCCAGCTAGTCCTTGGAAGTAGAGCCATGACAGACTCAGCCGACAACTCACATCATCCTCTGCCAGCCGGGAGAACCACGGAGACCCAAGTGGTAAAACAGTAGCTTGGGTGGGGATTGTTACGGGCCAGGGGTGAACACTTGTTTAGATGGGGGTTGTTATGGACTCTGAGATGCCTGTGTACTGGAGCCTGGGATGGATGGGCCCTCAGGCTAAAGGCACTTTATGTTTAAGTCACCCTGTACCCAGGAGGGTGCAGGGTGCAACACTGGCCAGACCCCAGGACAAGTACTGTTGTGGGCATGGCACGAATGGAATATGTGACCCCCTCCTGGCAGTAGCGAGCTGACCCGTGTGAGTCATGCTGCGGCTGCCGAAGGTGGACAGAAAACCATCACTGAGTGCTATATCCTCATGTGCCCGCTGTCTATTTCTATGGGGAGAGATATGTGATAGGGAACGTCCGGCCTGTGGGCCGTATGAGGGCCGCAAAATCATATGGACCGGCCCATGGAGAGCCGGCTCTGCTGTCTGCCTTTTTCGGGCTGGTGGAGTGATCCCATCCTTACCCACCTCCAGGCAGTTTAAGGCAGAGAGAGGGAAGGAGCTAGGACCCGGGAGCCTGCTGGACAGGAGGAGGTTCCGGGAGGCTGTGATCGTCCAGCGAGCAATCAGGTTGAAGCAATACCGCCCGTTACCATGGTAATGCTCCGACAGCGTTGTGCTCACGGGAAGAAAATAGGGAAGTCAGCCTGCAGGCTAAGGTGCATGCGAAACCACTGGACCACCAGGGATTGTAGTGATATGTCCTCTCCTTCCAGGCCAGAGGTAAGAAAGATGATGGGGGGTGCATACATTTCCCCCCTCTTTTTAATGAAAATAAAATATATAGATTTTCTCCCTGATCTCCCCCACCACAATATAGACCACTGACACACACTACACCACCTTACACACATACTGCACCCCCCCCACACACACACAAAAACCCCCACACACAAAAAAACACACACAAAACCACCACACACAAAACCCCACACAAACACACTGCACCACACACTGCACCCCCTCGCACCACACACTGCACCCCCTCACACACACACACATTGCACCCCCTCACACACACACACAGCAACCCCACACACATACACACACTCACACTGCAACCCCTCACACTGCACCCCCTCACAAACAGAATGCCTCATACACACTGCACCCCTCACACAAACACACTGCACCCCTCACACATAGAACCTCACTACACACCCCTAACACACACAGAACCCCCTCACACAAACACACTGCACCACACACACACACACTACACACACACACACACTACACCCTGTGAATAGCAACATCATCAATACCAGCTAACATCACACCAAAGAGAAGCAGTTCCAGCCATCACATTAGGAGTGAGTTAATTAAATGTTAGACCAAAATCAGCAGGCTAATTTTTAAGTTGATAATTTTGTATCACCTGCAAATGATGTTTTAAATATCCATATGGCCCTTGGCAGATATAAGGTTGCCCACTCCTGATTTACCCTGAGTTAGAAAGGTAATTTACTCACCTTTTTCCAGCATTGCACGGGACTCTTCGCATCAGAATTGATGATCTCAACCAATCAAAGTAAAGCAATGGATTAGCCGAGATTATCAATTCTGATAATCTCAGCCAAGGAGACGGGGTGTGGAGGCAGATCCAAATGCCACCCATTCCAATCAGCATCTTCTCATAGAGATGCACTGAATCTCTGAAAAGACAGTGTTTATATTAAAATGCCTACAGTGACTGACTTTACTCAACAGAATAATTATATTAAGCTGCAGTTCTGGTGACTATGGTGTCCCTTTATGTTTTTCAGCATTTTTGAGCTTAGTGGCTCATCTGTGTGATCAGACCAGATGGCTAGCCTTTACTCGGCACATGCATCAATGAGCCATGAACCTTGATGAGCCATCACTGAGCCATGGGCACCCATGATCCTGCTTCTGTTTCACCGGTTGTCTCTCCTTGCACCACTTTGTTGGAACTAACCACTGCATACTGGAAACACCCCACAAAACTTGTTGTTTTAGAGATGCTCTGACTCAGTCGTATAGCCATTGCTATGTGGCCCTTGATAAAATCACTCAGATCTTTTCACTTGCCCATTTTTCCTGCTTCCGTCACATGAAATTCAAGAACTGACTATTTACCTGTTGCCTAGTAATAATATAGACTAGGTGTTGTGGCGGAGCGCCTGGCACCCCGACTGGGTGCCTCCACCAATCGCCGCTTCCTAGCATCTCCGAGTACGTCCAACCAGACACCATAACTACTGTAAACCCCACAGCTTGGTTGGGATCCAGCTTCCAGTGGGTAGACCTCTCCCAATCCAGAGGATAAAGCAGGATAGCTCTTACAGGAGCTAGTGATTATAATAATAAGCAATCCCCAGAGTGATTATAGCTGTTCCCTCCACACATGAGATAAGGCTCTATGTTGAGGGTGAAGAGGAACTGTTTAATGGCAGCCACAACTGGCCTTAAATGCAGGTCCCATGCAAGAGATTTTCCATAACATATTACAGGGGCATTCCACACTGGACTTGAGAAGGGACTATGACACACTTTAATTACATTGGCTCTCAGGTCCAGGACACTCCCTCCCATGTGCCTGAGAGATAATTGAGTCAGGAACTGTACTAAACTCAATTATCTCCAGGCACAGAAAATATACATTTTAACAACCCCCTGAAAGTACCCCCAAAACACATGGAAATCCCACACAATTCACATCCCCTGACAGCCCCGATCTGGGGGACCAACATATCCAAAAAAAAATAACCCAGATCGGTTCAGGGGTTCGGGATTTCCATAGAAGTCATAATTTGACTGACCGCACATGAGGATCCTGCCCAAAAGAGTTTCATGTTTCATAAGGCTGTGCAATCGGTCTCTTTCAGGAGTACAAAATACAACAATATACTGAACAGAACTGTTCGTACGTATGCTTGCCTTGTGCCCTGCATTCGGGCGTTTGCTCCCACCAAACACCGTTCATTCTAATCCATTTTCCTGAATGTAAATGGAGGTGGAAGTCCCAGTGGTGTTCGCGCCGTAGAGTGCCCAAATATAGTTCCATAAACATGACGACCAAACAATGCTGTATGCGTTCGCTGGAAAAAGATGGCCGCCACCTCATGTTGGTCCATCTGAACAGTGCCACCCCATATACCGAACCATATAAGTCTAACAGCACAAACCGTGTCTGTTAAACGTGCAGGGGCCAAGGTTTATTACAGGCGCTATAGTCCTGAAGTAGGAGGCTTGCCAGCAGGTGTTTTTTAAAAAGACTAACATCTGTCAGCAGCACCGAAGTTGATGTTTAACCCCTTAAGGACACATGACATGTGTGACATGTCATGATTTCCTTTTATTCCAGAAGTTTGGTCCTTAAGGGGGTAATGGATAAGGAACTGTGCTGGATTTTCTTTTTAATTGTATAACTTGGCTCCCAGCAGCAACCTATTTATGCATATTCGGGTAAGTGCAGCCAGCCCCACTCCAAACATGCCCAACCATGGCACACTAAATCAACACACTACATGCAGAGATGCTCTCGTTCTGCTGAATGCTGCTGGAGGAAGACACGTACCCAGTCTGACTACACTACAAATTCATGTTGCGTTCATACAGCACAGCTATTGCCCTTGCAAAACAGTCATACTTTTCCTCCCTCATTAGCTCATGCTCCCGCAATAACAGGCATCTTTGTATTACCTTTAACTCCCTTCTTTGTTCTGCTGTGGCCACCCCACAAACCAATCTTACAGCTGATAGCTTTGCATGCTACTTTACCGACAGCTAAGGAAAGAATTCTCACCACCTTTCCCCTCTCTTTCTCAACAACACCTAGGCAATGCCTTTCCTACCCTTCCCAGGATACTGAACAAGAGGTGCCCGCTTGATCCTCTCCCATCTCACCTTATCATATCTCTCTCCTCTTGTCTTGTGCATTCCTTAACACACATCTTCAACTCTCTTCTGGCGTTGTCCCTGCTGCCCTTAAACATGCTACTGTAGAACCCATAAAAAATTT